TGATGGTGGAATTTATGTCGCACGCATTTGCACGGGTGCAAACATTATTCTACTTATAAAGGAAAGCACGTGATGCCGCGCATAATGTACGGGATGCAAATATCGCAGTGTTAGTTTTCCTGCTGTGAGACAATGGTTTGTTTTGTTAAACAACTCTCTTTCTCTCTTTCTCTTTGGACTCCATAATTTTCGATTTATAGTTCAACGTCGAGTTCTACGAAAACACAAAGTTACTTTAAATCTGTTCATTTCATCAACAGTGAATGTACACAGAAAAGTTAAAAGATGATCGAGAGGCATCTCTAGAAACGAAAAATACGAATATATGTGATCATTCGTCGCATATTTGAAAAATTCACTCGCGTGACATGCAAGGTGTGTCCCAGATTTCAATACCTCTTTTTACAGGGTGAGATATGTGACAGTAAACAAATTTGGAGCCAATTCCAGAACGTCGGATTTTTTATCGCGATATTTCTCTCGCGTTCCGATTTCGTCAATTTTAAATGGCTTGGATCGCTATCAAATCGACTCGAGTTTTATACTCCTAAAGTATCCGCAGTGGTTATTAAATAAAGAAAAAGAATTCAACTGTCTGCGCATTGTTCCGAGAAATCTTTATATTTATGTGCGTTTATACTCTGGAGAGAGGCGAAAGTAGCAGTAAAAAGTAGTTGAAGTAACGATACCGTGAACAATCACGCGAGGCATACCAGCTGCTTTTTCAGCTGCTAAATCGCAAAATGTCAGCGCAAATGCGTAAATAACTTACAAGATCTGGATCTTGAATGTATTATAGATTGTTTTGGCGGTACTGAACATCCGGCTAATTTATCCAACGCGCGAGTATCGACGAGTCTGAATGTATCGTGCCATTTACGTAACTAACATTTACAGCATTGTCGCATACATAATTACAACATCGTCGGCAATTACCTCATCCGCACGAGGAAACACTTGTGCCTCGAATGTTTGTTGAATAGAACATTATTCGGAACCGCTGTTTTATGATCGTCAATACAGCTGATCGTTAGCATGGTTTCCTTCCGGCTATCCCATTTAAAAAAAAAAAATTCTAGCTATATTAAATATTAAAAGGAAATAATATGTCTTTTAACATTTTTTAAATTATTTTGAATTATTTCGCAAAGAAGCTCGCTTTATTTGTCAACTTATGAAACGATAACAAATTTTGCTAAATAATTGGAAATAATTTATAAAATAACATAAAAGATATTATTTTTTTAAATATCTGCTGCGAATTAAATATATATATTCTTCAAAAATAATTTTATGTTTAATAAAAATTGTGATATATAATTTCTAATTATGATCAAATTTATTTTATCAAAGTTGAGTAATATCTTTCAAAAATAATTTTCTCTTCGTGAAGCAAACTCTATCCATGGCATTTCATATGGCGTACCTTTTGTTTATAATAAGCATAGCACATTTCATGTACTTATATGTATGCATATCCGTTTCACTAGCGGCATATGTTATCCAGCTTAAGATCACGCTTATTGTTAGGTGTGTTAAAGCTCCACGGCTTGAGACTATCTAAAGCCGAACGAGCTTCCGGCTTGGTTCAACGAAGTTTTAATGGTTCATCAGAAAAAGCAAACTGCGCGTCACGCTAAATATAGATCTTGACTATGGCGGGCCATTACGCGTTCGCAAATTCCATACAAGCTCCTTGCGGCTTCACGCCATAAGAGAATCCACACGTTCGTGATTTTGCATCATCGCCAGGAATAAAGTTGTCAACTTCCGTAATCGCGTTTTTCTCGATTACCGAAATATAGATAATGGAATTCTTGCGAAAAAGACAAAATAAATGCGTACAAAAATGAAATTTATGATTGAAGTTATCCCGATGTATGTAATTGTACGTGCTTCTCCTAAAATGTCACTTCAAAATATTATTGTCTCAAATTTCGAAAATGTGCGAGTCTCGAAGAAAATGCAATACCAAAATTTGAAAAATTTTAATTTTGTTTGAAACTATTCTACAGACAGGCATATTATGCCGAACTTCCTCCTTATTTCGAAACTACATATGCGTTCTACAAACTTTAAACTCTCAAACATTTCGAGCAAATAATATTTCTGAACAATAACATTATACGCGAAGCAATGAATTTTCGCGTTATGTTCAGAATATATTCTAAACGTTCGAAGTTTTGTGTATCTACTAAAATAAATTAAGCAATACGTTTATATAGTAACAAGTAAAATTAATAGCAGATATTAATAAAAATTAAAAAATTGACAGAACTCTCATACAATGCTCCAAACTTTAATACAATACAATGATAACGAGATAATAATAAAATGTACCGAGAACGATAATCTCGAGTGCATAGAAATGTAACGTATGTTATTACATAGCGTAAAAAAAAATCACCGCGCCAAGCATAGCTAGTCTTTATTTCTGTCGAGAATCTATTTCTGGAAAGTTTCAAGTTCTACGAACGACGGTATAAATCTTGATAATCGTCATGAAAGTTCCTCGTCGATAAAACGCCAACGCCATTCGTCGCAACATATCGGCGAGAAACAGAATTTCACTCAGAATCTAACGCCCGACGATATAAATAATTAAATATTAAATGTTATATATCATACACCTTGAATATATGATTAACCATGAGATAAACGATGTCAACAAAATTCCTGAGCAGTTTCATCTAAACGCGTTATTAAATTACTTGTATATATTTATATATTTCCTAATATTTCGAAAATAAATATGTTTTCTATATAGATATATATGGAATCTTTGAGTGTGCTTATAGCAAAATGTCAGCGCAAATGCGTAAATAACTTACAAGATCTGGATCTTGAATGTATTATAGATTGTTTTGGCGGTACTGAACATCCGGCTAATTTATCCAACGCGCGAGTATCGACGAGTCTGAATGTATCGTGCCATTTACGTAACTAACATTTACAGCATTGTCGCATACATAATTACAACATCGTCGGCAATTACCTCATCCGCACGAGGAAACACTTGTGCCTCGAATGTTTGTTGAATAGAACATTATTCGGAACCGCTGTTTTATGATCGTCAATACAGCTGATCGTTAGCATGGTTTCCTCGGCTATCCCATTAAAAAAAAAAAAAAATTCTAGCTATATTAAATATTAAAAGGAAATAATATGTCTTTTAACATTTTTTAAATTATTTTGAATTATTTCGCAAAGAAGCTCGCTTTATTTGTCAACTTATGAAACGATAACAAATTTTGCTAAATAATTGGAAATAATTTATAAAATAACATAAAAGATATTATTTTTTTAAATATCTGCTGCGAATTAAATATATATATTCTTCAAAAATAATTTTATGTTTAATAAAAATTGTGATATATAATTTCTAATTATGATCAAATTTATTTTATCAAAGTTGAGTAATATCTTTCAAAAATAATTTTCTCTTCGTGAAGCAAACTCTATCCATGGCATTTCATATGGCGTACCTTTTGTTTATAATAAGCATAGCACATTTCATGTACTTATATGTATGCATATCCGTTTCACTAGCGGCATATGTTATCCAGCTTAAGATCACGCTTATTGTTAGGTGTGTTAAAGCTCCACGGCTTGAGACTATCTAAAGCCGAACGAGCTTCCGGCTTGGTTCAACGAAGTTTTAATGGTTCATCAGAAAAAGCAAACTGCGCGTCACGCTAAATATAGATCTTGACTATGGCGGGCCATTACGCGTTCGCAAATTCCATACAAGCTCCTTGCGGCTTCACGCCATAAGAGAATCCACACGTTCGTGATTTTGCATCATCGCCAGGAATAAAGTTGTCAACTTCCGTAATCGCGTTTTTCTCGATTACCGAAATATAGATAATGGAATTCTTGCGAAAAAGACAAAATAAATGCGTACAAAAATGAAATTTATGATTGAAGTTATCCCGATGTATGTAATTGTACGTGCTTCTCCTAAAATGTCACTTCAAAATATTATTGTCTCAAATTTCGAAAATGTGCGAGTCTCGAAGAAAATGCAATACCAAAATTTGAAAAATTTTAATTTTGTTTGAAACTATTCTACAGACAGGCATATTATGCCGAACTTCCTCCTTATTTCGAAACTACATATGCGTTCTACAAACTTTAAACTCTCAAACATTTCGAGCAAATAATATTTCTGAACAATAACATTATACGCGAAGCAATGAATTTTCGCGTTATGTTCAGAATATATTCTAAACGTTCGAAGTTTTGTGTATCTACTAAGATAAATTAAGCAATACGTTTATATAGTAACAAGTAAAATTAATAGCAGATATTAATAAAAATTAAAAAATTGACAGAACTCTCATACAATGCTCCAAACTTTAATACAATACAATGATAACGAGATAATAATAAAATGTACCGAGAACGATAATCTCGAGTGCATAGAAATGTAACGTATGTTATTACATAGCGTAAAAAAAAATCACCGCGCCAAGCATAGCTAGTCTTTATTTCTGTCGAGAATCTATTTCTGGAAAGTTTCAAGTTCTACGAACGACGGTATAAATCTTGATAATCGTCATGAAAGTTCCTCGTCGATAAAACGCCAACGCCATTCGTCGCAACATATCGGCGAGAAACAGAATTTCACTCAGAATCTAACGCCCGACGATATAAATAATTAAATATTAAATGTTATATATCATACACCTTGAATATATGATTAACCATGAGATAAACGATGTCAACAAAATTCCTGAGCAGTTTCATCTAAACGCGTTATTAAATTACTTGTATATATTTATATATTTCCTAATATTTCGAAAATAAATATGTTTTCTATATAGATATATATGGAATCTTTGAGTGTGCTTATAGAATGTATATTGCCTTATATATAATACAATTTAAGAACTTGTGACATTAACCATCACGTTAACGATCTTCTCGTTTTCTAATTTTATATATATATTGACATATATATATATATATATATATATATGTCAAAATGTAATACTCACCTAGTGGAATGATCGACGAATGAACCGCCATCCAAGAGTCTCAGCTTGGCGAAGAGTACAGCACTGACAAACGGTACCGCCGTGAGTTCCTCGAGGTCGACCTCCACCGAGAATTTGTACTTCTTCTTCTTCATCATGAAGGCCATCTCACCCCTGAAGCCGGGGCACCGCACTTTGATTCCTGTTGCGTGTAACGTGCAGGTACCGGATACCTGCGACAAACGTAGATCTCGAGGGTCCGCCCACCGTGACTTCCAACGATTCCACGTCTCCAAGAGACCTTGACTTCGATTCAACGATCGCGGGTGATCTCGGTTGATCGATGCATTCGCGGCCGATTTGCGACTACTTCCGGTCGTTCGTATTTCCTCGATTATCACTTTACGCGTTTTACGCACTTATCGATCTCACCGCCTCGCGTCTCGCGCGCGCAAGAAGATACATTCCCGACTTTTTAATTACAGAAAATATAGTAGATCGGAAAGGAGGTAGCCTCGGCTATATTCAAGTCTTTCTGTTCTTGGATCAAGCTCCAATTTTTTGAATCAAGATTGTTTCTTGAGCGTCACAAGCACTCGGATGGACTACGACGACTACGGAGATTTCTATCGCGCGATTTCCACCGCCGTGAATTTTCCCTTGCAAGAGGAACGTCTTAAGAACTACGTAGCGAACGACGACTTGGTGGTGATCCTCTTTTCAAGATGCTTCATCGACGTCGCTCCGACTTCTATGTTTGTTAACGTTGCCTCGAGATTCAATAGGAAGAAGTACAGCTAACATTCTTGAGCGCCATTTTTGTCCTCCGGAACTGCAAACAAAGTTTGGAATTGTATTGCATAGTCGTAGGAAAATGGTGCGAGAAGATAAAAAGTGAGACCGATTTACGTAGTAAAAGGAAAATGTCCGCGCAATTAACGTGTTGAGCAAAAACTAACGAACAAACAACGCACGTAAAAAATTAATTTAAAATTCAATAAATTCAAGGTATACTTAATCCACATCAATATTTATCATTCGTAAACGTGAAAATTACATCACTTCTTGGCAAATAGCTGAAGTTAAATAAATATTATTATTATACGAAATTAATATTTAATATTTCCGCATAATGATTAAAGCTCCTTTCATTAAAATATTGAGATATCTAAAATATAGTTTTTGGATTAATGTGTAAATAATAATAAATAATAAAACGAATAATAATAATAATAATAATAATAATAATAATAATAACTTATACATTTACATATACAGAATGGTTCATACACTTTTATTTAAAAACATCTTTTCTGTCACTTTATCAACCTCTCGAAACTGAATGTATCCATGAAATTCATTTTTCAACAAAATAATTACTCAAGTTACATTTCAGGTAATCGTGAAAATATACGAACCATCCGTTATACATATACAATGTCAATGTATAATGTACATGGCGATAATAATACGGTAAACTCTTGCATTATAAATTTCTGAAGGCACAGTCGATAATTGGAAATTTATGTATATTTCAATATCGCAATACATTTCTGAATTTTCACAGCTTCAAATCAAATAAATATATACAAAATTAATTATCCATCAAATGTTACGAGATCCGAGCATAATAAAAATAAAATAATTAATTGCAAATTAATTACAAAACGAGAAATCCAGGAAAATCCAATTATCTATTCAAAAACAAGCATTGATAGCTCTTTCTCTCCATCTCTCTCTTTTTTTATTCTCTTTCTCTTTCTTATGTACGGAATATTATCTTTCAAGTGAAGAAGCTACCGAGATAACACAACAATTTTATCAGCATTTTGTGTATATTTTGTTTTGTCACTACGTGTTGTTGAATAATATAATTATACTTTTTTTTTAATGTATCGCGTTTCGTTAATAAAATAAAACATTACAATAAGTATTTTTTTTCTTTTAAATATAATAATTTTTAAAAATAACAATCAAAATTCTATACTATTTAAATATTTATATATTTAATGAATAATTATTAAAAGCACATCGTGTTGAAAAGTAGCAAATGCGTGAGAGAGACAGATATTCTCGCCAAATATTTTATTCAGCGATGCCCAAATAATTAATTCACTATTTAACAATTAATTTCATTATTATTCGCTATTTTTTTGTATTACTGCTTGACCTAACGTCCTAACAATTTGTGAATCGTGTCAATTTGTCGCGCAATGAGAAACGCGTTTCTGAGAAATAATGCAAACTGTATGACGGCAATTAGAGAAACTGAGGTTTCAAAAACGCTAATTGCGCTCGGAAATGCAAACGAATTTCCACGAATGCTTGTCCGCTTCCTGGAATCGAGTTTCAGAATGCAAACTAGGTGAGCGCCGATGTGACATACTCAGCGATTGATGCAAGTCGAGAACATATACAATCCTATCCGAAATAATCGACAGAAAAAAATATAGTAGTATTTGATTGTAAAGAATTTAAGTCACCAAAGATAGGGAACGGCGCGAGAATTACGAAGATCAACGCGAGAGAGCGATAAAAATATTTGATAAGCCGTTCCTGACGTAGCAGGAAAATTTAATATTTCCAATGCGTTGTTTTAAAAATGACTTCTCTCATTGCAGATTTAAAATTTATGGAAGCGAAAGCAAGTATACATCTCCTTTTAAAAACACAAATTTATATATAACATAATTTTTTTCAAATATAGTTGTATAATTATATAAATGAATAATTATATTTTTAAATAAACAACAAAATACCATTTTTTTCATTTAGATATTCTGGATTAAAAAGTCTTTGCTTGATAGAATTTTATTTTATAAAGGTTTATAATTACAAAGAGATATATATTTAGAATTGATTGTAAAAAGTTTTAAAAAAGAGAATAACCCAAATTCAGAAAACAAAAAAAAAAAAGAGAGAGAGAAATTGCGATTCCAAATTGGTTAAAAAAATCCGTCAATCAAAAGATCAAAAATAGCATAATTCCATTAAACAAAAAAAATTCTTTGATATGTATGTCATCTTTAATCATTAAACTAAACTCAATATCTAATATATAGTTAAAATTGCAACTTTTTATTATAACTTGTCAAATGAAAATAAGAGATGTCATAAAATAAAATATATTTAATACTGTACGTTTTCGAAATAAAAATTTTTGGTTTCGCAAAATCTTTATTTATATTTACTCGGAAAAGTTCAATTTTCAATCACGATTGCTTCTGCTCGACTGTGTTCCAAAAGTTAAGAAGATACCTATTCATTGATGATCGATTATCCAATCATTGAGTGTCATTGAGGTCGACATCTACTCGACAATCTGGCTACTCGCTTAATCGGTTCGACTTTTGAATGAGAATAATTACGAGATAGAAACAAATCGAGAAACATTTAATCCGCCATCGACAGGATTAAAAAAACGAAATAATTAATCCGAATAAAACGGATTAATTGTACACTCAGATATTTATACAGGTTTTCTCACGTAAACATTAAAAACAAATTTCTTCTCTCGTGTGTGTATGTGTGTGTGTATTTCTCATTTATATAAATATGTATCAAGAGGAAAAGATACAATATTTTTAAATTACCAGATTCTCTCTTATGGTGGGCTTATGTCACCCATATATATCAATGGTGCTCGACCTAACCTAGAATGCTCACAATAGATGCAGGTTGTATCGTGTATTCGTGCACGCGACGCTCGTGAAAGTAGCACGCGGAAAGACGATAAAAACGCGTTTTATCACTCTCGGTCAGCGGACAGCCGTCAGCCAGCTGACAGCTCGGCAGCGCTAGACGGATAGGACACTGTCCTTCCACGCGAATCGGTCAGCGCGCTCCATTTGGGAGCCGCCAAATTGCATGCCAGATTGCATCGATCTCCCGGAGGGAAGGAACCTCGGAATTAAAGCGACGCGATGAAGGAAGGAACGAGCGAGCGCGTACGACGCGTACTCGCGATGAGATATAACGGGCACTGGTCCTCGCGTTAACCTCTCGCGCGCGCGTCTCAGCGCCACCCGCTACAATTCCAAATCGATCTGAAGCTGTCCCGAAGAGATCCTTCAATTTAGTAGACCTGACCCTTCGCGCGCGAATCTCTCGAGGAATGTCGAATGGACGCGATCCGATCGCGACAGGAATTCCAACAGCGGTATCTCGTATCGCGCGATGGCAGGTGCGATTTTATAACCTCTCGACGACGACATTCGCGACGACGAGCCGATATATCCCGATCTTTTTCGAGTCGCTCTGTCGCGTTTAACCTCAAATATCGCGAACTTGAGATTATCGACGAGTTTCGGATTCGGATGAGAGAAGATGAGCGCGAATGGTACTTACCGTGCTCTGTACGCTCTCGTAGGGTCCACCACGCTAGCCGATTTCACGCACTCTCACAATTTTCATGATCACACAGGCGTCTCTTCGCGACCACTATAAACTGCCACGGTGATGACGAGAGCGACGACAACGGACACGAGAATGCGAAAGTTCCTTGAAGAGGCTGCGAACGCTTCGTCACGTCCGATTAAATAGAGGCAAACGGAGCTCGTCTGGCCTGGCTCGCCTACGAACTACGAACTGAACCCAACTCCCGAACTGCACGAACTGTGTTGTGATACGGGACGAGTTTCCCGCGCATGCGCGACGATCGCCATCTCAGTAAAGTGCCTAGTTCGAGGGAAAAGGTGTTGTTGTAGCACATATGAAACATGCGATTCGTTTCTAAATATTCGCGCGCCATGACTATTAATTTTTCGAGAAATGAATAATAATAATAATATTAATGAATAAGTAATTTAAAAAGGCAATAATAACGAAATCATTTTTAATACTAATTTTATACTGCTTTAGATGACATACCATTACCGTTTCTCGAATAACGGTTACAAAACTGATAAATAGTCGTGATAAAATTATCGACAAATTTTTGAAAAATCGGTAAACCATGCGAAATATATATGTATGCAGAAACAATTGTAATAAATTAATTTTTGCACTCTTAGTCTAATCTGACCTTATTCGTTTGCAACAAATTATCGATGTGTCCATAGTATCTCGCACTGTATATACGTCGTTGTACTGATTGAGACTGATGCCATCGAGTACAGTAGAAATAAGTAGAAGGATCTGATCAAATCCCATCAGCGAGAAGTTGCGCGTATGCGTGAGTGACGTCTTGCCCGCGTGATCGATCTCCGCAAATTCATGCTTAAATGAAATATGGAAATATTTTAAGTCTAAATTTTCTATATTGTTTTTTTTAATATTTATTACGTTAATGATATATAAAATATGTTAAATCATATATATTGAGCACTATTAACTTTATTATATATACGATGTTCAAAAAATTAGAGAATAAATAATTTTAGAAATTTATTCTACCTTTTGTATTAATTAAAATAATGTCACGTAAGTTCACATACGTATCCTTCCGATTTTAACTCATCCTTATTTTTTAAACAGAATTGTGATCTTTAATATGTTCGGAACAAATAAACAAATAAAATGTATACATTATTTCTTTTACCATTTTTTATTTCTTTCCTATGAAGGGAAATATATATGATGGTAAATATTCGTATTTTATAATGAAGTATGTATGATACTATTGAGGCTCGATCTCTTCCTGATCGCACATGCGCGATGAATTGCGTCGCACTTTGATTGAAGTGGCGACTCAATACCTAAACTGACTGTTGCTATCTTTGCGCCACCTCTCGAGTATTTTCGAAGTCATCGGCTGAGAACGTGTTTGATTGGTCGCAAGCTTGGACGCCATGATGTTGACACATTTTGAAGTGCGGATGCAGCACTTATATATAAGATAATAAGAAATAAAATATGAAATTATATATAACATAATATAATACTTATTGAATAAGCAATATATATCGAGTATCGCAAAAATAACGTTCATATATTAATATAATAATATAAATATTAAATATTTAAATACTGAAAAAATATTAAATATTAAATAGTGAAAAATCTTTTAAGAAGGTTCGATAAATTATAATTTATTCGAACAATTCTTGAAGCATTTTTTTCATATTTAATGCTACGTAAAAATATTTATTTAATAAATATATTCAACACACATATATACATTTTATTTCTTATATATTTCTTATATACGATATTTCGCAAGCGTGATGAAAGAAAAATTGTTGCGATCGAAGAAGCTTATTTACCAGATTTTTATTCATGACAAGACGGTTATGCAACGATATCGAGATTAGAGGAAGGATTTGGTCAAGGACGTCGTATGTGATACGAGATATGTAGAGATTTCGATTCGTAGTTAGGCTTCCTAAATAAAACTTGTTATAAAAAAGAGACTCTATACATATTATTTGCACACATATATGTAAACAAATTTTAAGAAATATGATATGCGCCTTTTTTATTATCATCTGTTCCTGCCTACATAAAGTCTCGATGCAAATGTTATCTGAAATGTATCCAGATGATAATTCCAATATTTTCGGAATATAATTAATCACGAAATAAATAAATAAATAAAAATTATCTGTCCCTTTCCCTATCAAAAATGCATATATATATAACCGCGACATCGAGAGCAAAGTATCGATGCGATATCGGAGGGGGATATCGCTGGCCATCCCTACCAAGAGATTTCTGGGTGGTGGATGCTCGCGAATGGCCGACCCCCGTCGTTGTTTCTGTCAATCAAGCGCACTGTCAATCGCCATCGGAATACGAGAAACCATGTAAATGCTGGTGGAGAGTCGTGACGAGACGTGCGCGAACGTTCCTGGCGTGTGACGCGGTTTCTCCGATGAAACACGCGTAAGAGACGGGAGTCGCGTGCAGCACGCAACACGCGGTTGTCACCGCGGGCGATCCGGGGATTGGGGGGGGGGGACCACGCCGTGAGAAGGTGATCCCCGGATATTTTTCGTCGAGAATAACCGAGATTGGGATATCGAGGATTCGCGCGAGGGCGAAATAAAGCGGACGATACGGGAAATCGTCATCGTCTGAAATACGGGAATCACGGGACATTCGACGGGCGTATTCGCCTCACCATGATGACATCGTCTCGAATTTAATTTTCCGTCCCACGGATCGTTTTGCTCTCGGTCTAATGGGTCGTGCTAATGCAGCACGAGGGTGACACGCAGAGTTGAGAGCGCAGAGAGGAGAGACACGGAATTTCTCCCTTAAAAACAGTCGTTTCGTCCCCTGGACGGAACTGATTTGTCCAAAAAGACAGAAATTAACGTTGAAAAAAAAAACGCACAGAGCCACTTGTGTTCCTGAGAGGAAGTCGAGTACGTGATTACTGTCATTGTGCCAGAGCAATGTTTGTAAATATGGGCTTTCCAAGTTCCAAGTAGGATATATATAAGTTGTCCTTTATATAGGCGAGCTTGAGATAATTAAGATAAGTGTACGCACAGAGAGGATTTGTACTCGAAACTTGTCTTAAGTATTTCATTGAAAGATTATATCTCATTTACCTATATACATCAAGACATATCGGACAATTTTTCTTAAAAACATGATAAAATATAATGTACAGTTAAAGAAGTCTTAAAAAAGAGAAGACTGCATTAAATATTGCTTTAAATATTGTTGGTTGTAAAAATAGAACAATGAATATTGACATTGCAGACTTAGTTATGGAGGATAGCATGAGTGTAAAATCCATGGAATCAGTGGCGACAAGCGACGAATATGAATTTGTAAATGAGAAAGGTACCAGCAAGCAGCAACAGGCTCTCTTGGAACCACCCATGCTAAAAATCGCCAATAACGGCAATCTGGAGGATTTGCAAAATAATCTTCGCGAGGTATGTATAAATTTATCAGACTTATCACTGTGATAATCTAGATCTTGATAGACTTTAATCTAGATCCGACATATAAATGCTAAACTGTGTATTAACATACTTATATTCTTTGTGCGACAATTGTAGATTTTAACAGAGGACTCGAAAATGGAAGGTAGTGAATTCAGAATGACAAGTACTGAGCAACAAAATCAGGAAAAAACAAAAAGAGTAGGCCATAGTAAATTTTATGAAGTTACTTCTTGCGTTGTTGCATCGGAGAAGCAGGATATTATGAAACCTGAAGATTATCTTGAAGACGGTAAAAAAAAGTTTTATACACATTATACATGTATATAAGGGTATTTATCACAAAAATAAAATATATGGTATAAGAATAATAAACAGATTTGCAATTTAAATGTATGTTTATGATCCAGAATTAAACGGAATTTCTCCCTTAAAAACAGTCCTTTCGTCCCCTGGACGAAACTGATTTGTCCAAAAAGACAGAAATTAACGTGGAAAAAAAAACGCACAGAGCCACTTGTGTTCCTGAGAGGAAGTCGAGTACGTGATTACTGTCATTGTGCCAGAGCAATGTTTGTAAATATGGGCTTTCCAAGTTCCAAGTAGGATATATATAAGTTGTCCTTTATATAGGCGAGCTTGAGATAATTAAGATAAGTGTACGCACAGAGAGGATTTGTACTCGAAACTTGTCTTAAGTATTTCATTGAAAGATTATATCTCATTTACCTATATACATCAAGACATATCGGACAATTTTTCTTAAAAACATGATAAAATATAATGTACAGTTAAAGAAGTCTTAAAAAAGAGAAGACTGCATTAAATATTGCTTTAAATATTGTTGGTTGTAAAAATAGAACAATGAATATTGACATTGCAGACTTAGTTATGGAGGATAGCATGAGTGTAAAATCCATGGAATCAGTGGCGACAAGCGACGAATATGAATTTGTAAATGAGAAAGGTACCAGCAAGCAGCAACAGGCTCTCTTGGAACCACCCATGCTAAAAATCGCCAATAACGGCAATCTGGAGGATTTGCAAAATAATCTTCGCGAGGTATGTATAAATTTATCAGACTTATCACTGTGATAATCTAGATCTTGATAGACTTTAATCTAGATCCGACATATAAATGCTAAACTGTGTATTAACATACTTATATTCTTTGTGCGACAATTGTAGATTTTAACAGAGGACTCGAAAATGGAAGGTAGTGAATTCAGAATGACAAGTACTGAGCAACAAAATCAGGAAAAAACAAAAAGAGTAGGCCATAGTAAATTTTATGAAGTTACTTCTTGCGTTGTTGCATCGGAGAAGCAGGATATTATGAAACCTGAAGATTATCTTGAAGACGGTAAAAAAAAGTTTTATACACATTATACATGTATATAAGGGTATTTATCACAAAAATAAAATATATGGTATAAGAATAATAAACAGATTTGCAATTTAAATGTATGTTTATGATCCAGAATTAAATACATTATCGCATGTTCAACAAGAATGTACTATTTTCAATGGTGTTACTTATTTGGGAGCAGCTGCAATAAATGCACCAAAATCCGAGTGTGAAATACAACGCAACATGAATATATTAAATGCAGAGCAATCTTTGAATTTAGGAATAAAAATTTCCGTCTCAGTGCCCAGTAGTTCGCAAGGTTCAGTCATGTGAGTATATTTAAGTTTATAGCAAGTATGTGAAAAGTCAGATTACGATAACTAATCAGATTATATAATAAATTAATCTAAAATTTTTTAGTTTATATGATGCCGCAACACAACAAGCTATTGCACGTTACGAAGTGCAACGCATTTTATTTTACGCACGTGGTGAGAGTACTGGCCCATGCGCAGCATGTTTTGCTTTCACGTGGTCACACGGCGATACTTTAGAATCTGCCATTTATCAATGCCATGTTTTCCGCTGTGACATACCAGAAGCGGTACGTTTTTATCTTATTATCATACATATATAAAATCATATAGCTTCTTAGTTTATCTTTTTCACATTTTATCCAAATTAGTTTCAGTCTTTTTAATTATTTTGTTTAGGTTGGACAAGTATCAGCCTGCTTCTCAAAAGCGTTCCATAGAATACCACGTTCAATGACAAGTTCATTGACAGGTAGTGATTTCAATGGTTTTAATGCTGGTAGTGAAAAAGTTAATTCTAGAGTATTCATTTTTGAAGTCACTATGGAAATAAAAGAAGAAGATGGAAAGGGTACTTTTAGTACAGTCCCTAAGGATAGAAATTGTTTTAAATTACGAAGTAATGTAGCGAAGCAAGTTTGTTTGAGCATCCAGCAAGTGTCCAGTAAAGAAGGTGGCATTACGCTTGAAGTTGAGAGGTGTTTTGGAGTACTTGTTAGCCCTGGACGAAATGTTAAGCATAGTGATATGCGACTACTCGAGATGGTAAAGAGAGATTCACAGCAGCAAGTTAATTTTATGTCTATAATCAGCTCAGATGTTCGCAATATTACAACAATTTTACAGCAAGTTAATTCTGGACCAATAATGCAAGACAAACAGTGCTATAATATCTGTGGACGTTGGGATCCTGCGGATCCTGCTTTGGAAACTCTCAATATAGAAACTCCTAGAGAGGGCAAAATTTTCATGACTGTTGCTGTTGATCTCGTTATCAGAGATATTCGAGAACCAGTAAGATTTGTGATAGAAACATCGGTCAAAGTGTATCCACAAAACGAAAGATTTTGGTATTTTAACAAGAGAAATCTCGTACAACAATTTTATCTCAATTCCAAAGAGGCAAGCTATTTATTTTATATTCTTAGGAAAAATTGCATTTTTAAATATTTATCTGCTTATTACACATATTTAAAATTATTATTCTCTACAATTATACATGTTAATCTTTTTTGAAACAGGTAATTTCTGGGGATGGTACTGAAATACATTATGAAGTACAAAGTATAGAAACATCTGGTGAATTAGATAGAAATAGATTAAATTTGGCTCTGAATCTGGCATCTTTAATCAGATCACCCTCTTTGACGAGTATTGATACACTTACGCCTAAGGAAGAAATAGATTCAGGTAATAGACCTAATTCCAAAAAGAATTGGCTTGCTAATTTAGTAATACAAGATATATTTGTTAATATTTCAATTTCAATATATGTATAGACGGAGATGAGCCCATGTTAAGTGGTACAGGCGAAGTATCTAAAGACTGCTCAGCTGATGAATTGGCAAGTTGGGCTGAAGTTTTAGATAGCTGGCAAGTTAATGAACAACGTCCAAAACTTCTTATAAAACTCACGAAACAAGGAATTCCTGAAGCTTTACGCGGCGAAGTTTGGCAACGTTTAAGTAATTGTGACAATTCACAAGAGATGATGGACAAATACAGGATGTTGATTACAAAAGTGAGTGCTTGGAATATACTTTTCAAATAATAAAAAGCATTTATTATTCTTCCTCTGCAATATAACATCAATTTTGATAATAAATACACAGGAGAGCAGTTGCGAGAGTGTGATTTTAAGAGACATTAATAGAACATTTCCGGCCCATGACTTCTTTAAAGAAACCGGTGGTTTAGGTCAAGACTCTTTATACAGAATAAGTAAAGCATATGCCGTTCATGATGAAGAAGTTGGATATTGTCAAGGTCTTAGTTTCTTAGTTGCTAGTCTGTTATTACATGTAAGTAATTGTTATAAAGTTTTGTAAAAGAATTTTGAGTGCTCGATGATACAGTTTTTTTACAGATATACTGTAATATTTTTGTAAAATATGTATAAACTAAAATAAATTTAGGTATTTCTCTTATAGATGCCCGAGGAACAAGCGTTCTGTGTTCTTGTCAAATTAATGTACGACTATGGTCTGCGAGATTTATACAAGGATAGATTTGACAACCTTTACATGCGATTTTACCAATTAAATCGCTTGATAGAAGTAAGTTGATAAATTCATTACGTTTGCTTGACAATAAATTATGCGAGTGAACTGCACATAAATTTTTTCGCAATTGACTTTCAGGATCAATTACCGGAACTTTATAAGCATTTCTGTGATCGCGGCGTAGAAACGCACATGTTCGCCGCACAATGGTTTCTAACTCTCTTTACTGCTAGATTTCCATTATATCTTGTCTTTCATATCTTGGATGTATTTCTTTTACAAGGACTTGACACATTATTCCAAGTTGCCCTTGCTTTGTTAATGGTAAGCTGTTATAAACAGAGACACTCTTTACAAAGTTATCATATATAAATTATTAATTAGTAATATATAAATTATTGTGTATTAATTAAATTGATATAAATTATGATATATTCTGTCGCGCCTGGTAGTGTGCGTGAGCGCTTCGTCGTTACGGCGACACACACTAACAGACGTGCGGCTCACTGACGTGCGTCCGGCTAAAAGTCGGCGCTGATTGACCAGACTTTACTCAATAATAACTCCTTTATTAAGCGTTATAGAAAAAAATGGTACAGGACTTATCTGTTCAGTTTACTGTGCTCTACGTGCTCACGAGCGTTGTCAAGGGTGCTTTGGGACACCCCGTATATATATATATATATACATCTATATGTGAAAAAAAGTAATAAAGTAATTTGATATTTTTTAGCTGTGTAAAAAGGAATTATTGCAATTAGATTTTGAAAGTATATTGAAATACTTCCGGGTGCATTTACCAAAACGTTGTCGAAACGAAGAAGTGGCACGCTATGTTATGAAGTTAGCTTGTTCAGTGACGTTAAAGAAGTTGAAGAAATATGAGGCAGAATTTATGACATTGAAAGGTAATTTCATATTCTACGTTTGAGCTGCACATCTCCCGGTTTACCTTTAAACCTGATGTTCCATCATTTCATTAGAGGACATTGTACACCATGTTGTACATGCATGTATACTGGTTGAGTAATTGCCTGTTGGTTGTGAATTTGTTTTTGTAATATGGGTAAGAGCTTCAGGCACAAACTTTATACTTATATGTCATTTAAAACTAAAAAATAAAATATCTTTGCACATGTCAAGGGGATTATTACTCATGAAATTATGGATAAGATATGACGAGTTCTTAGGCTGTGCCATGAGATGTATAATGAAATATTTATTTATTTATAAGAGAACTTAGAACTCTTTTTTTCTTGAATTCAAAATCAAACGATCTAATCAAATATATATAGTACATTATATATATATTAATGAAATATTATAAGAGAACTTAGAACTCTTTTTTTCTTGAATTCAAAATCAAACGATCTAATCAAATATATATAGTACATTATATATATTATATATA